GTATTTGATTGTGTTTATCTACAGTTAGTTACACGAATTCAGTTATGGGATGAAATCGGATAGGGATGAACGGGTTTAAGAGTTTTAAAAGTTTAAGAGTTTTTAAGAGTTTTAGCCAAATGCTTTATAATATAGTATAGATATAATATTTTTGGACCACGGATATGAAAAATAATATATTTTCCATGCCTTTTGGCTGACTGACCGCACCACATTCTAAACCCTTAAAATAATGCCATCAACAAAGAGAGAAAGGAAATTTGTGCGTCCCACGAATCTGATCCACTCACAAGAGAAACAAACAAAGCACAGATATATCTATATATATATATATAGATATAGAGAGAGAAAGTGAGACAAATTTTGGAGGAGAGAGGGAGAGAGAGAGTTTTACTTGGAAGCTTCAATCTCTTTTATAAATGAAATTCATGTTGAAGCTTCAAGAAATCCACTTGGTTTTCGTAAAATCTTGAAGAATCAGAGGGTAAATGCGGCAAGAAAAAAGTTTGGGAATTGGGAGACCATCATTTCAAACCCAAACCCTAACCCTAACTCCAGCGAATCCTTCATTGCCATTGAAGGAAACCCTTAATCAGCTGGCTGGAAGACGCACAAGCTCTCAAGAATGAGATTCTCAACATGAGGTTTAAGTCTCTTTCAGATTCAAATACCCCCCCTTCCGAACCTGATGAATCCCCAACCCTAGATAAAGGTAGTCCCATTTCGGTAACCCCAGATTTCACGTCTTTGCTTTCGGATCAAATTTTGATTCTCATACTCTCTAATCTCACAAAAGCACAACAAATTTCTAGTTGTTTGGTTTGTAAACGATGGTCGAGGATTAGCGGTGGTCTAGTTAAATCGTTGCGATTATTGGATTGGGATTTTCTTGATTCTGGTAGGCTTGCTCATCGCTTTCCTAATCTTCTTGATGTTGATATTGTTCAAGCTTGCATAATATCCCCTCGTAATTCGGGTATTTGTTTGAGTAATAAATTTGTGTCTATTCATGTTAATTCGTTCATATCAGATACTGGGTTTATTTGGAAACCCCATTTTTTGGGTGCTGGTTTGATTGATAGAGGGGTTCAGATTCTTGCTCAAGGTTGCCCTAATTTGCGTAGGCTTGTGTTGCTTGGTGCAAGTAAAGAAGGATTGGCCTCTGTTGCAAATGAGTGTTTAGCTTTACAGGAACTAGAGCTATGTTCCTGTACGGATATGGATTTAAAAGGGCTTTCAGGTTTTAGGAATTTACAGATTTTGAAGCTCATTGGTTCTGTTGATGGGCTATATGATTTGGTGATTTCAGATATTGGGTTGACAATTTTGGCTCAAGGGTGTCCAAGATTACTGAAGCTTGAGCTTGTTGGTTGTGAAGGGAGTTATGATGGGATCAAAGCAATTGGTCAGTGTTGCCAAATGATGGAAGAATTGACCCTTTGTGACCATAGAATGGAAGGTGGGTGGTTAGCTGCATTATCATATTGCACGAATTTGAAGACTTTAAAGTTTCAATCTTGCAAATTTATCGATCAAAGTCCAGGGCCTGATGAGCATTTAGGTTCTTGTCCCACCCTTGAAGAATTACATTTGCAGCGGTGTCAGTTGAGAGATAAGCAGGGTTTGGGAGCATTGTTTTTGGTTTGTGAAGCTGTTCGGGAGCTGGTTTTTGAGGATTGTTGGGGATTGCACAACAATACATTCAGCGCTGCAAGTATTTGTAGGTATGACTATAGTGTCATTCTTTTTGTTTGCTTGCATATTGTTTTGGATACTCGTATCTACACATTTGATAAATTAGAATGCAGTTATTTGTTTCAGAACCCATATGGTGGAATTAAGGGTTTTGCTTACTGAATTGAGAAGATTGTAAAAATAAATAGGAGTGTTCATTTATCACATCCTATGCTCCAAAGTTAGAGCCATTCTTCGATTAAATTTTTTATATCTTTCAGCCACAACTTGTTTAGTCAAAATCTTTTAGGGCTTCCATTAAACTGATGATAGCCTAACAGTATTGTCAAAATTGATATAATGCTTCCTCTAAGGACAATTCTAGAGAATGGCAAAATAGATAAAGTAATCACTAAACTCTCATGGTCTTTTAATGTGTTGAGGAGGGGGATGGAGGTGTTGAGTAGGGAAGAGGGAGGGTTCTCTATTTCTTTTACAGAAAGACTTATGACTTCCTCCATCCCAAATTAAGTGTCTACATTTCTACCCTTTAGTTATGAGATATATAAATTCATTACTCCATCTATCATTAAGGTAAAGTTGCCATTTGCTTGATTAAAAAGTGTAATAGTTACACATTTATAATGTTTGCCTTTTTAATTCTAGACATTTAATTTGGGACGGTGGGAGTATTTTACAATGTATTGTTTATACCCCAACATATTTAGTTCAAATGCAAGCTGATCTCTGTCGAACTGTTGGTCAATTGGATGGCAATTTAACTAAAGTTATATGATTGATATGATTGTGGCAGTTTAAGTATGTGATTTGTACTAAGTACGCTGGAAAGCCTATGATGTGGATGACTACTTCATTTATGCCCCTTAAAAGTGTAGATTCTTTTGGAACAAACTAAAAGAAAGGTGTTATTCATATCATGGAACGGAGTTAGTAGGATAATCTCTACATGTTTTGCTACTAACATAAAGGGTAATTGGCCAAGCAGTTTCTGGGTTACCGGTAGAGCCCAGCCTTTCATGTGGTCAATGGTTCAAACCTTGCCAAGATGTATATCATTTTTTTGGAGTTGAATTTAATCTTTAACGGAATGTGCATTGTATCCTGAGTCATTAAGGCTGAGATGTTCTTGTTTATTTAAAACACAGAATGGTACTAATTAAGTAAGGAAGGCTGATTCTTTCTTCTTTTACATGGTTTTTAGGAGAGTGACGTCTCTGTCTTTGGAAGGATGCTCGTTACTTACAATGGACGGTTTTGACCCTGTAGTTCTTTCATGGAAAGAGCTTAAGAGACTTAAAGTAGTTTCTTGTAACAACATAAAGGACAGTGCTATGACACCTGAATTAGCAACCCTTTTTTCCGTTCTTAAAGAGTTGAAATGGCGTCCAGATTCCAAGTCTATTCTCTCATCAGGTCTTGATGGTAGCGGAATATGGCAGAAAGGTGGAGGAAGCTTCAAGATTTGATCTTGCAATTTGATGTCTTTTTTCTTTTGTCCAATAGTTAGCATGGTCACAAAAGGGTAGGATAGCATTTGTTTCTTTGTCAACCTGAGAATATACTTGTTCTAGTTTTCCCATAAAGATTAGTCGTAGGATTTAGAGAACAAGTGTATCTACAAGTCACTATACGTTCTTTATCTAATTTCATTTCGTTATTTTCCTTCCACTGTTCCACATAAAGTTACATCTATTCTGTGTGTTTTGCAATTAATAGTTATGACCCTTTTTATGGGCTTTACTCAAGTAGTTGAGACTTGCTATTGATACTTAACAGGTTCAGAGTTCAAATGCATTCTTCTTTATGCCCCAACTAATCGCTAAGAGTGCGTTTGGTATGTGGGACATGATAGGATAGAACAAAAACTTGTTGTCCAACGTTTGGCGAGATAATTAAACTGGGACTGGACAAGACCAGAGGTTGTTTGGTTGGTTTTCCATTAAGTCCCAAATGGATAAAGCAGTCTGTATGGATAAATATGTCTGTATAGATTGGGAAGGTTTTTGTATGTACCCGCATCTCGTTCATCCCATCTGTGTACCAAACACCGTATGCCTAAGGGTGCATCCATGGGCAGGTGGCAAAAGTGTTACCCTCTTGGCTATGGGTTCCCAGGTCTTAAAATGGCGCAAATCAGGTGAATTTCATTTCTGTTTCATGTTATTGAACCAGCTCTTTGATGTAGTTTGTATTTTCTGCTAGTTTTATAGGTTTCTTAAATGTTGGGGAGATTGTATTCTTTTATATAGGTATGAACATCGAGCGATTTGACCATTTAATGCACCAAAATGGTTGGGAGTCTTGGGGAGTTTGCTGCGGATCCTGATTCATGCCCAATTGCAAGTGTTCGTTCCTTGATTAAAAGGTATGTGAACGTTTTACACTTTCTTGCACGTGGCTGCTTTAGTGACACGTTTATTTTAAGCATTCGACTAATAGTTCAACAATGTGTTGTGTTAAACATCATGATATGTGTGTGGCATAGAATGTCAACGAATGTGAAGAAGCCAATAATCAGTATAACAACTGGTTTGCTAGCAGAAAACATTAGGTTTTTGGCTTATTGAGATAGAATAGTGTCAAAATTTCAAGGGTAAAGCTCATAGAAAACCCAATGGTTCTACTAATGAACTTCTTTTTAATTGGTAACCGTTGTGTCTGCGCAGCTTAAGCGCATCTCGACCAATCCCATGGGACTCGGAAGATAACAACCAAAATATCCACTAGCAACCTACAGGGAGGAGCTGTAAAGTCTGACATTTATATGTTAGTTGAGCTAGCCGTCAAGGTTTATTAGTAAGGTTTACTAATCAACTTCTTGCATGTACAAAGGGTCTTCACTCCAATGTTCAGTAAGAGTGTTTGGTATGTGGAACAGAATGGGATACGACTGGAGAATAACTTCTTGTCCCATGTTTGGTGCGATATCAGGGTGATAGGACAAAGTTGGTAAATTACTAAACTACCAAAGTCTAGTTAAAATCTTAAAACATTGCATACCTACCTCACACTTTTCAACTCGAATTATGCATTCCTTTGTTTTGTTAGTTCAATTGGTTTTTGCCTCTTGGTGTAGATTGGTTCAATAAATTGGTTGATGACACCGGGATAGGCTTGAGCCATGGTGTGTGTTTGTTCGGTTTCCCATTTGAAGGTGGGTTTAGAGGTGGGATATATACAAACTTATCCTGAATCTGAACTAGTAGAGCAGTTCTTTTCGTGAATATCTGTCTGAACTTTTTTCTTTGTTTCTTGAGAATGTTACCTACAAATCGTTTCCTACCTTTTAGACTAAATCCAAGTTTGTTATAGCTTTTTGGAGTAAAAATATTTGAATCCTTAAATTTCTCAAATTCGTTTCTTTGACAATGAACGGTTTACATTAGGTGCGAAGTGATATTGACATCAATCTTGGATCAAACGACTCGCAAGTGTAATATTTTAACATGTTTTTTGATGTCGGATTTCAAGTTTCATTGATCATCTGCAAACTTTCCGTTACGTACAAATAAATAAATCTGTGAGACAAAACGCTTCGAAATACATGCTCGTTAGTATACAAAACAAAATGGCGAATTTGCCATTTATCAAGACAAGACAAAAGAGGTCAAATCGGGATTTATGAAACTATTCAGGCATGGAGATGAGGTACTTTAAATGTTATGAACTTGGGTTGAGTTCTGCTGAGAGCTACTCAGTTATGTGAGAACCATTTGTGGCCCTTGATCCGTTTTTTTACAGATTTAACCTAACGGTGTTGATTGTATGTCTGGTTTGTGGAGGAGGGGGAATCTGGTCTTCGGCTTTCTGCATTTGGACATCGTAACATAATTTAACATGATAATTTGAATTATCATGTTTAAGGTATGTTAAAGATTGTGTTTATCCACAATTTCTTCCAATCTCAGTTAAATTATTGTTTTATTTCTTATCCACCTACATAAACTTCAACGTTAACCCAATCTCATTTTTCCATCATTTAACTGTGGTTCAATCCAATCTAAATAATTATAATTATATATATATATATATATATATTTTTATAATATATAATATTTTTATAATTCTAATTTCTAAGTATATAAAATAGATTAAACGGACGATTGCATATTTTAAAATGTAATTATAATTATAAATTTTTTATCATACAATTGAAACGAAATAAAAAAAGTCAGAAAAATAAGTACAAAATTACGTATATGAAATACATAAATAACCATAGTTAATTTCGAGACCGAATTTGGGAAGTCGTGAAAGAATCTAAAACTTTTGGAATTTGAAAGATAATGAGAGTATTGAAACAAAAAGAAAAGATGATGTGATAATAATATGTCAATATTGGGTTCTATTTGTAACGAATTGAAAACCATAAATTATGGTTATCTTTTAATTTTTAATACTTTTGTTGAAGTCATTTTTTTAACCAGATAAGTTTTATCAAAAAGAAAAAAGATTAACCAATAGTAATGTGCCATGTGGCAGATAAAAATGGGATGATCTGGATCAATTGTGATTGCGTATTTTACTTGTTTTTTCCTATTATTTTTTTAAACCTCATTTAGTCCCTTAAACATAGGCTAAAGGTTCAATATTTTTCATGTTAAGATTTTCGTATATAGGTATGCTACATTTGTATAATACTGAACCTTTACAAGAAAAACACTGTGAAGGTTTGTGAAAGTAAACATTCACATTGTTTTTGCTACGAATGTTCGCTGTTCTTCATACCTTCATAATGAATTGTAGTGAAGTTTCAGTGTCATTTTGTGGTCTCACGGGGCACACAAAAATAGGCCGGTCTCACATAAATCCAACCACATATATATAGATTTAGGATCACGTGAGACCAACCTGTTTTCATGAGACCATTTTTTTTACACTTGAAACTTCACAGCAAAACTTTGTGAAGGTAACATTCGCAGTGTTTTGCTGTGAAGTTTCAAGTGTAAAAAAATAGTATCACGGGTCTCACGAAAAACAAGCTGGTCTCACGTGAACCCAACCCTACACACACACACGCGCGAAGTTTGAGGAAAACTCCCAAAAAATAAAAAAACTAAGCAACACCATGGTAACCGTTAATTTGGACGGTATGCACATGTGCATATAAGTAATTGAAGCTGTTTCTTGGATTTTATGCACATGTGTATGTTATACACATACGCATACCGGACAAATTGCTTACAAATTACTTGTATGCATATATACATATCTTCCAAATAAACGGTTGTCAGAGTGCTTATCAATTTTCATTTTTTTTACGATTTGTTCTTGAATCTGACCCTATATATATATAGACTTGGGATCATGTGAGATCAAAGGTTTTTCGTGAGACCCGTAAAACCAATTCTCAATCCTTGGATTATATCTACAATCTGAACATTCATAATCACAAAATTGCCACGAGACTTCTCAATAATCACAAAATTCCACCATGCAACTTTAGACCATTGGATCATTAGCTTATAAAGTTGATCAATGAACATAAATTGGTCTTACGGGTCTCACGAAAAACCTTTGGTCTCACGTAAACCCAACCATATATATATATATATATATATATATATATATATATAGGGTTGGGTTCACGTGAGACCAGACTGTTTTCGTGAGATCCGTGAGACCACATTTTTACACTTGAAACTTCACAGCAAAACATTGTGAAGGTTTAAAAAGGTCGAACCTTCACAGCAAAAACACTGTGAAGGTTACCTTCACAACATTTTGCTGTGAAGTTTCAAGTGTAAAAAGCTGTTCTCACTGGTCTCACGAAAACAGGCTGGTCTCACGTGATTCAAAGTCTATATATATATATATATATATATATATATATATATATATATAAGTTTCAAGTGTAAAAAGCTGGTCTCACGGGTCTCACAAAAACAGGCTAGTCTCACGTGATCTCAAGTCTCACTACAACAAAATTGAGTTTACAGGACACTTCCAATCTTTAAGTGTCCCAATAGACTTCTTTACAAGACTTAATTTATAGGATCAAAATATAAAGTGTCCTATCTAAAGGTGTTGTAATAAGTTTATATGACGCTTTTGGGCGTCTTAACAAGTTTTTTAGAACATTTTTAATACAAAGTGTCGCATTAGCAACTTTATAGGACACTTTTGAGAAAGTGTTCTATAAAGTCATTTTTTATAGGACACTTGTTTTTATAGGACAATTTTTCAAATAGTGTCCTATAAAATTGAAAATGAGACACTTTTTATTAAAAGTGTCCTAAAAAACTTATTACGACGTCAAAAAACGTCATATAAACTTATTACAACATCTTTAGATAGAACACTTTATTTTTTTGGTCCTATAAACTAAGTCTTATAAAAAGGTTTATTAGGACGCTTAGAACCTGGGAGTGTCCTATAAACCCGATTTTGTTGTAATGTCTCTATATATAGACTTGGGATCACGTGAGACCAGCCTGTTTTCGTGAGACCCGTGAGACCAGTTTTTTACACTTGAAACTTCACAGCAAAATGCTGTGAAGATAACCTTCATAGTGTTTTTGCTGTGAAATTTCAAGTGTAAAAATGTGGTCTCACGGGTCTCACGAAAACAGACTGGTCTCACGTGAACCTAACCCTATATATATATATAAACATTTTATAAGCTAATGATCTAATGGTCTAAAGTTGCACGGTGACAATTTTGTGATTATTGAGAAGTCTCGTGGCGTTTATGAATGTTCAGATTGTAGATCTAATCCAAGGGTTGAGAATTGGTATTACGGGTCTCACGAAAAACCCTTAATCTCACATGATCACAAGTCTAAACACATATATATATATATGTATATATGTATACATATATAATCATAAATGACTTGTGTATTTGTATTTAAAACTCATAGTTTTTTTATAATGCAACTATTAAAACATTAAATATATAAATCTTGCAATTTTTTTTTTATTATCCTCATCCTTCTCGTTTTTGAAAAGGCATATTATCTATACTATATTATAAAACATTTGATAAAAACTCTTAAAATCATTTTTTATGCATGAAATATTGTTTGTTGATACATATTACTTACAATTCAAGATTACAAGTAAATTTTGCATAAGTACAACTAATTAAAGCTATATGTTTGAATTCGTGTAATTAATTGCGGGTAAACATAATTAAATAGAGGATAATCATCTCATTTTAAAATATAAAATATAATTAGGATAATTATTGATTTTCAACAGAATACTTACTTATTATCTTTATAATTTTTTTTAACCCTAAATTAAGTTACTTCGTTACGATAAATTAAATTATAATAAAAAAATTAAATTTAAAAAAAATACACAAATAAACACTTTTAAATAGTTAATTAGATACTAATATTGATATATTTTTTACAAATTTTATATGATATTTTTAAATTTATATTTTATTTAAAAATAAAAGCATTATCGTTTTCTCAAAACCACATATAATCATATTATATCGACATAGATAAAAAAATAAATCGAAACATTGAAATCGAAATGTGTCTCGATTCATTGCACGAGTACCCTTCTAGTATTTCTAAATGAGTGGCTCAAGTTTTAGAAACTTTATAGATTTCACTAACTTTTTAAAATATAATTATTTTAAATACAATTATTTTCTTGATATTAAAAAATCAATATTTTATTTGGTTTAATTTAATACTCATATCGACATATATATTTAAAAAAAATCAATTGTATTTCAAATTTCGATAATGAATGTATTCATATGTGAATATATGCACATACTAATGTATTTAGTTAATAAAACATTACCTCATGTTTCTAAAATCTCATAAAATTTAAACTTACAACTTATTGATGCATATTACTTCTTAATTCTTTAAAGTTAAATTTCATAAAAATAAAACATAATTAATTGATTAACATATTAAAATACTAGATAAGCATTGAAACCTATTAATACACCGAAATATAGTACAAAAGTATCTGATAATTTATATTTTAACAATTAAATTACAAACACTTATCTATTATTTATCAGATATTTTAAATTATAAGTTTATGGTATTTCTCATTATGCATTGATTTTTTTTTACTAATTATTTATTTAATCGTTATTGATATTTTAGAAGCATAATTTGCGAGTCGATTAGGGTTCAAATTCAAAACGAACAAACCATTAATACATTGTGGATGCTCGGTTGGTTTTTTATAACTCCTGCACATATAAAGATGTTTGTATGAATTAATTTGTCTGTATAGATTGGAAAGATTTACGTTTGAAAGCGTTTTTTCATAGATGGAAGAAACAAGTTTTTTAATTGAAAAGGGTAGGTTTAAAAAAAAACTGTGCATAAAGTTCCCTCTAGAACTTCACTAAATAAACCACTTTCTATATAATTAAGCCACTATCAAACAATAATGTATAACCGACCGAATAAGTTGCGAGTCTCATTAAACTCATTAAGCCGCTAACAAACAGACCCTAAGGGTTCTTGAAATTCAAAAGCCTTGTTCATATATTATATCAAACGGTACTATTTTACGACTTGCGTAATTTATTTAGGGATCGTTAATGGTGCTTTTA